AATGTTTAAGTGCATATGGTTTTCTACATTCAGTATTACTTCCTTATGTCCAAAATGATATCAATTTGAATTTAATGGATAGCTACAAAAAAAAAAAAAAAGATGTAAAGGATTCTATGAAGAATATCTTTGTACAAAACAAATTTGGCCAAGTCTCAGGGAACTATGGAATTCAGGAATGAACAAATATACACAGAACTTTTATCCCAACACTGAATATTTATTTTGGGTATGTGAAATGCTATAGACAGGAAGGATGGTAAATACTATGATTGGGATTTTAATTATGCTATTCTGTGCCAATTTTTTGTTTACATTCCCATACACACCACAGTTCATTAATTCTAAGATGCACATTTCCTCCCACATACAACATCTCTGAAGCATTGAGTCACTTTAATTGACAGCAGTTTTTTTTTCCTTTCTTCATAAAATGCACAAAATGATGGTACCTCTAACAATTGATGGCATATCAATTCAATGAAATACAGTAATTCTAGATGGAATACAAGGATCATATTATGCTGCTCACATCTGTATGGAACCAACACCCACTACATTTAGCACAGGCTGTGTACAAATTCTGGGGCCAGAAATCAATCACACTAGTAACAGTGACAAAGTATAATGTATTGAAGACAGACTTAAGTCAAATCTTTTATTATTACAGTAATCTGGGGGTGCTGAGGTTACTCTAGTCTTATTAACACTATTTGATTTGGGTTTTCAGGACACTAAATTCAATGAGACATGAATGTAGTATAAAGTCATTTATAAAGGGATAGATGTCACATAAAATGCCCTGTCCTAAAGGCTCAAATCCAACATCTATGCTGCCTCTCATGTGTAAAAGTTACTTTTAAAGTTTCATGGAGGTAAAATAAGAGAATTATGTATGTTTTTGTATACATATAGATCAGGGAAGGAATATCACTTTAGAAAAGGAATTCATGATACTGCTCAGCCTTGCAGATTATTCAATGCCCAAAGCAGGTAATAATTTATGCTATACATGTAGTGAAGAATGCTGATTTCATATATTTTATATGCTATGCACTTTCCAAAAAGATGATGCAATTTGCCAAGTTGCTATTCTTAAAATCTTTATTGAAAAGCATTTTAATCATTAGATATATATCAAATAGGACTTATGTCAAATAAAAAATATGCTTTAAAAAAGTTAGACTAATTTAAGAGGTTATTTAAACATAGTCTCTGTCTCCTTAACTTTCTGGGGCAAGACTTGGGTTGGTAATTGGTCATAAAAAAAATATCTGGGGGTTTAACCGAAGACACTTGAATATGGATCAAAGAAGTTTTTAGGCTACCTAAAATCACATCATACTATAATGTGAAGTTACATTGATATAAAAACATATTCGGAACAATTGTCTCTACGTACTTAAGCTAGTTAGTATCTTGTTCTATTCTAAGTGCTATATTAAAAGAGGGACAATGAAAATGGAGTTGGCCAACCAGGATGACTCTATTACTTGTTTCCCATCTTCAATGTCTCCTTATCTGCTGGTTCCTACCCATCATGATACAAACATGCTGAGATGACTGCCACATTCAAAGGTTGACTTTCAGTGCATATAATATTTGTTGCTAAATCACATTCTGTTAACCTTTTCCTTCTTGACACTATCAAAAGTCTTTACCCTTGAGCTCAATAGTATCTTCAGCTGCTTCCTTTGGGTCTCAGATCTTCTTTTTTCTTTTTTTAAGCATGTCCTTCAAATATTAATGTTCTCTATGGCAGCACCATTGACCATTTTTAATTCTGACTGAAAACACGATTTATCAATATCTATAACTTCAGTAATATACTATGGTATCCATATCTTTCTCCCTAGCCCAGACCTCTCTCCCGAGTCCCAGATCTGTATATCTAATTGCATGTTGGATGTCTTATAGACATTTCAATCTCTGAAAATAAAAAAAAAAAGTTTATTATTTACCCTTGACAAATCAGTTCCTCTTATATTCTCTCTCTTGCGGAAAAGAACTATCATCTACCCAGTTACCCAAAACAACCTGAAAAGTATTCTTGACTCTGGCTCTAATATTCAGCTGATCTCCAAGTCATGCTAACTCCTCCTCCCCCATCCCCACCCCAGTGTCTTTGAAACCCATCCCCTCCTTCTACTAATTCTGGTACTTCCTTAGTTCAGGTCTGCATCATCTCAAATATCTTAAAGATTCTGCCTAACTAATTTTACCTTATGCCATCCATCTTCCATACTGTCCCAGAGTATTTGTTCTCATATACAGAAATATGTAATAATATTTTCAATTTCTAGAATTATCACTACTAGTTAAAATTCTTTAAGGCTTCCCCAGCATTGGTAAGATGAACTGAAACTCCTTTGTGTAGTCTTTGATGAGCTGGTTGTACCTACTTAACTAGCTACTTCTAGATTAATTCTTCTTTGTTCACTCCATGCTTCAGCCACTGTGAATTAACTACCATTCTCCAGACACCTTTCCAGTGGTCTAACCACAGATAGCGATTCCTTAGAAAGGAGTAAACTGTCAGGAAACTTAAATGCCTAAGCAATGGGAGTAGATTGATAGGAGTAGATAGCCAGTGAGGGTAAGACTGGCCCAATGAGAAGGTATGGACAGACACAAGAGTTTGAACACAGCCAAAATGCTATGATAATACACAACTGGGAGTACTGAATTCTCTAGTGGATAAAGTATAACTAATCATCTTTAGAGTACTGAATTATATTTATATCTTTTGAGGAAAAAAATGAGCTTTTAGTTAAAAAAAAAATTAAAAAACTAACAAAGATCTATGGAGGCTCTAAGTCTAGATGCAAATAAATAGGTTTTGACAAAAGAAAATATTTAACCCAAAGTATGCAAAGTTACTATAATTTTGCGTTATTTTAATTTTAAGACGTTAATATCAGGTCCTTCCTCATGAGCTATTGTCTACTCAGGTCTAATTCAAGGCTTGATTATTCCTAATCTGTGACTCTGCTCACAGCTCAGAGACCTTCTATTCTTCTGAATGACCAGAGCCATGGAAATTTGCTCCACTCATGTACCAATATGAATGGACTACACCATGGTCCATTTAACAATTTCCCGAGTAAAAACTATTCGGCTCAGAAATCAGATCATGAGCTTCCTGGGAACATGGCCAGGGCTACTTTTAACTCGGTGTTCTACACCTTGCATGGTGCCTCAATATAGTCAGTTGAGTGAAATACAATGAATAAAGGAATGAACAAATGAGTAACTTTTAAAATTTCTCTTCATCATCATTTCTAATCTCACCTGATGCCCCAACCGTGATCTCTATTTACCATTCTCTTATCAACAAGCAAATAAAAGCAAGCAAGCAAGCAAGCAAGAAATACATTTTCTTATTTCCCTTAGTACAAGTTTATCTTATATCACTAAGCTTCCATCATTAAATATATCTGAAGGAAACATTGCAGCATGTCGGGGGGGAGCGACAAGATTGTATTTTACACATTTACAAGATGACATTTGCTTGTTTACCTAACCATTATTTTGATCTTCTGATTCATGATACTTTCAGAATAATGATTCAGAAGATCAATTAACATTGACTGAGTGTTCAACAGATACATGACATGAGACTAGTCCAAGGCAAACCATTAAAGTGCTTATGAATAAAGCCCTCTGCAGACTCACACAACAGTTGATGCTTTCAATGCTCATGCTCCCAAATACCTAGATTTGCACCCAAAGCCACATATGCACCTCAACTGACTGTTTTATGGTGAACGCAGAAAGCGTGGCCCAGATAACGGCACTCAATACCATGAAACTTCACATTGAAAATAAGCTGACAGCTCAGGTACATAAAACATGGCGAGGTGGTTTAAGTCTAATTTCCAGGGACTGAGGGAAACTTCAAGCAGGAGCTGATCCACACGGAAAACCACTTACCCAAGATTTGCTTGCTCCTTCACTCTGATCCAAGGCACCAGGAAGTGAACAATATTTTATATAAACACTGAGTTCTCACACAAAATCATATAACAACATTGAAATCCCAAAGAAATTTTTAAAAGTGCATGTATAGACTAAATGAAGAAAATATTTATTTCAGAGAAAGTACTCAGTATAAAGAGCATAAGTGCAGCTTTAAAGGATTTTTATCAGAAATTTTGACTTTGAAATACATAGGGATTTAATTAGCATTAATAAGAATAATATCATATATATTGAATAACATATATTACAATGCATAATATACACCGAATATAAAAGTCTAGCTTCTGGGGGCATAACATAGGAATAAAATCCTAAGAAAATAAATAGATAAAATAGATTTTTTTTCAGAAAAGAAAAAATAGATAATAGCAATCAGTAATTTTCAACATATTAAAGTGTGCTAGAAGTGGGAAAAATATTAAGTATGAAAGATCTAGTAGATTTTGTTCTATTTAACACTGATTGAATATATTCTGGAACATATTTTAGGTGTATAAATGCATGACTTTTTTAAAAAACCAGGGACTGCCTTATAAATGACCAGAGAGAGTTATTAAAAGTATTCAATCAGCCAGAATAACAATTATATATCAGCAGGCAAGTTTGGTTGATCTTTGCTCTTACCTTGATGTATTTTTGAAGAAATGTAATAAGCTTTAATACTGACACTAGAATGTCTTGGGACACTTTCAGATGAGTGTGCCATCCCCATGATGGACTGCCTCCACCCCCAACTTGTGCCTTATAGCAGGGGTCCCCAAGCCCCGGGCTACTGACCAGTACAGGTCTGTGGCCTGTTGGGAACTGAGCCACACAGCAGGAGGTGAGTGGCTGGTGAGCGAGCAAAGCTTCATAGGTATCTGCAGCTGCTCTGCAGCACTAGCATCACCAACTCAGCTCAGATCATCAGGCATTAGATTCTCATAGGAGCACCAGTCCTTGGTGCCAAAAAGGTTAGGGACTGCTGCATTACAGGGTTGGGAACGTGTTATGAGCATGAAACATACATTCTTGTTTACCTGAGACAGTGACTGTCGAAGCCGTGCCATCTGCGTGCTGTGGCCTTTATTGTGATCCTGTTCAGAAACCATCTGCTTAAGTTTCTCTTTCTCTATAGCTATGCTATTAAATGCAGACTTCAAAAGAGAATGCACTGGGTGGGGAGAAAAGTGAGAAAAGAGATCATACGGATCCCGAAAGAATATCTAAAATTATAATCTTTTTAGCACTTTAACTCATGCATAGATGTTTTCCGGAAAGGTTATATTACAGTCTAATTAAAACCCAGCCTTAAAATGGAATCTATCATAGTATCTATACATGAAACAAATATGGTAATGGTAATTAATCATAGTGATAGTATTAGCATTTCATACCAGACACGCCAACACAAAGACTTGGAAGCATATAAAATATCAATATCAATGTTAAATAACAACATTTATGAATTAATTTATAATTCCTAGAAGGAAAAGAGAACAAATTTTACTCTGCCACAGTTGACGAGAATATTTGAGCAGTTCTGTGTACAATGAAGACACACGCAAATCATTTAGAACAATCTAAAAATTATTTCCCAAAGGTATGCTCCCAAAAAAGAACATGTTATGAGTCCTGCCAACATAAACAGGTGGCCAGTCTAGGAAGCTCTAGCTAGTTCTCTTTGAGTGAGGAAGTGATTGGTCTTAAGAACAGTACTTCCATTACTTTCTTAGCCAGGGACATCTGATGTCAGAAGTACTTTGGTTTAAAAGTAACAGTAAAAACAACCCCCCTTCCCAATTCCTGCATACCTAACATACATTGTTAAAATCTGAGGCAGTCTTTAATTTTAAATTACAAAAGGTTGAATTTCCAACTCCTATATTTACAATAACAGAATTTCTATGCTATGCATGGTTTTCTAAAATAGGTAATTCTTTTTTAGTGAAGTTATTTTTAAAAGAAGGGGAAGATTTTAGCATAAAACAGTAGTCTGAATAAAAGGGGAAAATGGTGGAATCACAAGACTCACAATCTATTGATTTATGTGCTACATTTTCATCATCGATTTAAAGGTAATAACTTGGTAGCTGGAATACATTAACTCCACTGGCAGCTCTAAAAATGAACTCTCACTCATTTCAAAATTCATTTCTTTCTAAAGAGTTCACTAACAGTCATAGAAAAGCCCCTCTTTTTTCTGGCATAGTTGAAAAGAAAACATGTTGTTTCAACAAAGGCTTTAAAAGTCTATTGAAACTTGGATTTCCTGAAAGTCTCGGGATTGCAACCAAATACACAAAGCTTTCCTGGGGCTACCTGCAAATTTATCCATCTCCCTTTAACAGCTGCGCTGTACTTAACTCACACATTTGTTGTCTCATTCTACCTGCTCTTACACGCCCACCTCCCACCAATATGAGTAAAAGTTACTGGCTTTATTGGATGTACATCTGTGCCGTTATATAAACAAAATAACATTGCTCTAGTCTAATGACATAATTAGCATCCAGCTAAGAAATGTAATAAAAATGTACTAGGAGTAAAACAGCCTGTGAAAGAGAGTTGGCCTTACAGAATCTCAACTGAGCAAGATATAGAAAAAAAGGGGGAAGATGATTTAGCTTGTTTTGGGATTATGGAATTACCCAAATATCTGATGGTTTGAGAGTACAAAGTTTTGTACTGATGGTTTGAGAGTACAAAGTTTTGTTGACTTCGACATTCTCAGAGGTGCCCTCAGTGTGTGCCCCTTCTTTTCCTGAGCCACCAAGCTCTTGAGTATTACGGGGAGGGGACCTGAGATGTTCCATTTAACATACATTTTCAAGAATATTTTATAACCTATAAAATTCTCCAGGGAAAATAAATGCGATTAATTCACAATAAGGTGTTGGTGACTGAAAACAACAATGTATATCTTTCTCCAAGAGATTATGCATTAAAAAATGCCTGGGAAGGTATTAACTTGAGTCAAAAAATGAATTTCAGTGGCTAAAATTTAAATATTATAGCACTAAGAAGGGGAGTTAATTTGGGAGCTGGGTAAACACAGATAGGACTGCTCAGTCCACCTACACTCTACTATCCTGCTTCTTACTTATTATACCCTACTCCTTGAAGCCAATGACAACAATTGAACTTATGCAACGTGTCTTATTGAAAATTTAACATTAAAAAAGAGACTCTAAGGTGGGGTTGATTTCCCTTCCCCTTCAAATCTGGACTGGCCTGTGAAGCTCTAACCGGGAGAATGCAGTAGAAGTGACTCTGTGCCAGCCCCAGACCTGGCTTTGAATAGGATAGGCAACTTCTATTCCAATTCACTCCATTCTTTTGGATCCTTGAGTTGGCATGGAGCGGGGAGAGGGACACAGTTGTGTCCCAGCCATTCAATCAACAACCAAGCACATGGGTGCAGCCCCCTTGGGCCTTTCAGCCCAGCTTCCGCCAGAATACCACTGAGTGAGCTCAGTCAACACTGTTTAGCTGAGCCATGTCTAAATTCCCGACCTGCAAGCTATAAAGTAAAATCAATGAGCATTGTTTAATAAAAAAAAAAGAGAAAGACTCAGAGCCTATTTTTTTTCTTGCTAAGGATAACCCACAATTATGTATTAAATGATAACTAAAAGACACTGAAAAAAAGATGTTTAGTAGTGTCTGCTGGCCTGCACGGGGCAAATCTTTTGTCTTTCTTCCTTTTTTCCCTCCCTCCCTGACACTTTCTTTATTCAGTCAATAACTGTAAACCTATGATGTGTGTTCTCCCAAGAAGCAGACATCATATTCCACTGTGGTCTGTATATAGAACTTCAACTAGTATACAAACCATTTAATCTTTCTTCCACGATCACCTAGACAAGAATAAAAGAGTGAATGGCAACCTCTCATCAGAGAAGAGAGCTTTTCTAAAGGACACGTTAGATTTGTTGTTACCTTTCTGTGCAATTAGACAAAATTCTTCCTGAAGTTTTGTATAATCTGTCGAACTTTCCAGAGGGTCAGTGAGGTGGCTAGGGGGAGTCTGAAATTCAATATCTGCACAAAGGTTGGGGTTGGAGGAATGCAAGCGAACTGGTGACATGGTCGCACTGAAAGGAACCTAGAAGGGAAAGATACAAATTATTCTAGAGCAACAGTGCACTGGTCCATATTCTCTTACATAGAAGAGATCTCTTCCCTCCTCCAAAATAACAGATTCCTCTCTGATGACACACTCGGAGAGACTCAGTACTCATTTATTTTGCAGGCGGTAGGGGTGAGAAGGAGTCTCACGTCCCACGGTTGACGATTTAGGACTGCCACTGACTCACAGGCTTTTCACTGGTACAGAGAGAGACTGCGGAATGACAGGAAGAAAAGGTATAATCCCAGGTAAGCTTCAGCTCCAAACTCACAGTTATATCTAAAACTTTACTGGCAGGAAACAGTAGTATATACTGTGATGTGACTGACCTTCTTTTATAAGGTCTGGGTACCTGCATCTGAGGACTTTTTATGCTCACTTTTTTCTGAGCCTATTGAAAATTTAAGAGGCGCGTATACAGCAAGGTTCACTGGCTCCATAGCCATTAACAGTAAATATACTAATGGTTTAAAAAGTCTCCCAATTAAATTTGAAATTGATTTATCAAAATATATATTTGTAAATGAAACATATATAGTTTACCTTAGTATGGTACAAACAACTTTTACATATACGAACATGGCTTATGAACTAGTCAATATGGAAAAGCATTAAATAAAAAAAGTCATATTACTAGAGATTTCCTCAAAGAGCTAGAGGTATTTCCTTGCTCAGGCTAGAATGGGCTAGGCTTGTGCTGTGTGGAGGCAAAACATCTTTCTCTCTCCTTCTGGAACATTCAACCTGACCGTAACAAATGCTGTTAGCTGAACATTCTTGGAAAATGAGAATATCAATTCTTCTTGTAAATCAGATCACCAGTAACCTCCCCTAATTCGAAATGCACAGACATTCATTCAATTATCTTCGAGAATCAGACTCTTAGGCTCCTTTGTTGAATTTTGTAGAAATTAAAGCATAATTCGACACCATCTATCTAACAGGAAATATGCTGTAGGAGGAATATCTAGTCTAATGTATATGTATTTCAGACCACTTCCTTTTTTACATTTTTTGATTTTGCTTTAAACTCCTGGCAGAAAAAGAGAGAGAAAATAAATACAAACTAGAACGCGCGGCAGATACAGAGGATAGATGGAGGAGTTGGAGGGAACAAAAAATATCTGATCTAAGCTAAAGTTTGTGGTATGGGATTTACGTGGAAGAATAATTAAAGACAGAAATGTCTGACCTTAACTCTGGTGATGCCAAATCTAGAGAGAGGTCAGCCCATAGCCTTCCAGGGAGGACACAGAGAATCAACCTATGGAAAAGGTGGTGGAGATTAGGGAGTCCTGGGAAGGGGCTGTGACCTGGGGAAATGGGTAAACCAGAGAGTCTTCAGTTTAAAGCATATGGTCTCCACATACAAGGAACTAGAACTGAGCATTAAGAAAAAAGAATGTGGGTGTGTGCTGATGGAGAATGTAATGTGCTGACAATCAGGGAAAGGGTTTTATCTGCATTCAGGTGCCTTCAGCACTCCAAGGACTAGCATGGCATAGAAGAGGGGTCTCTTCCCTTCGTGGGTAGGGAGGTGCCTGCGAGAGCTGAAGGAGAGGTTGAGAGGGGAGGCCATGATGCACTGGAGGCCCAGAGAGCCCAGTAACGATGCAGACTTGTCCCTGAGATAATGGTCTCTCTATTAAAATTTGGAATCTAACACTGAGAAGGAAAATGTAAGTTACAAATTTATATTTTGAATATCATGGAAGTTTAAGTTGGCAATAAAAACAGTAAAAGTGGGCGTGTACATAACCCACAGGAAAGAGACTTGGAACACTCCATTCAAACTGCAATCAGGCCTCTAGGATATTGAAAACTAATTTTTATATGCTTCCTACTGAAAATGTTTATATTGACTTTTTTTTTTTTTTGGTTAAAATAAGTACATGGAATGGGCCATTTTAATGAAATTGAGAATACAAAGTGAAGTGTACTAATCTAACTCTAATTGAGTAACTCTTCAGCCTGAGGACTTATTTGCTCATTTTTTAATTCATCAATCTGGGTATTGTGGGATTAAAAAATTTAAGTGGCAACTAGGCTCTCAGTCAGTGACGCTGAAGTGGGAGCTGTGTCCAGCTCTCAATGTTTGTACTGAGAACACTCAGTGTTGGATGTGGCCTTTATACCCTGCTCAGGAAAGAAATCCAAGGCTTCTTTGAAATCCTGTGACAGGGAGGAAGCCTGATCCTGAAACATTCTGGTACTAATAAATACAGTTTGGAATGGGGATGTTAGCAGATGCTTTTAACACCCATCTATAAAGAAGTTAAAAAAGGAATGGATTGTCAGCGGAAGTACTGGCACTGAAATTTGGCAATGGTAAATGTGAATGAAAAAGAGAACCCAGAATAGCAGTTCTAAGTGTATACGACTTATAGAGCCAATGTGAAAAGTCTCCGGCTGTTGTTATTCTGCATTATGTGTACGGGGAACCTCCCGGGGATTACTGATGGCGTTGGGACTCTCGGGGTTCATCTATGGTGAAGGACCAGTGTTTCTCTTTTTCCGACCTCCTATTCTGTTTGGTCTAGCTGATGTTGCAACAGGAACATCGAGGTGTTGGATCAACAAGAATAAATCTTTGAAACTTCCCCTTGGGCATATTTTTCTTTAGAAGCAATCTCAGCTGTGCTGGACACTAAAGTGGGCAAAGAAAACGAGTGACTAGGAGTCACTGGAAAATTCTAGGTAAAAGGTAATAGCAGGATAGGATAGGTTCGAAAAGTGTGGGATAACTTTAGTGTTGAGAACAGGAAGGACTGGGAATTAAGGCGAACCACTGTAAAAGACACGGTGGGCAGAGTCACCAGTGTCAGGTCACAGGGATACGGATGAGGGGGCTGAGGGAGCCAATTTAGGGTCCTGTTAGATGTTGCTATGCTCAGGTATGGAGTTAAAGCTATAAATCCTGGAGGGTTTATGGCAACCATTCTACCTAGTTATTCCCAAATTCATTGCTAAATGTTGCCAGTAACTTTTCTCATTAGATGAACCTAAATTATTCTTAAGTTCTGTGGTCACAGCTACCCTGGGAGGAGGGCATTAATACTTCCTTCTTTTATAAGCTTTTTCTCTTTTATATTCAAATTTTAAAATATAAACCCATTCTATTCAAATAGGTTCTAGCCCGTTTTATTATATTCACTATATGAATCTACAATTAAAAAATGAACACAGTAGAAACACATTCACTTCCCTACGTGCCGTCTTAGAAGTACATTATTTAAGGAACCCATTAGTATTTCCATAAAATGATTGACCCTTTCTTTCCATACTGCAATATTGTTCTCTAATAATCATTTGATTTCTTAATTTTATAAATGAAAGATTACATTTAAGAATTATTTAACTGATTATACATGTATCTATTGACAGAATCTGTTACCATGTAGGTGTCATATGTTTTACTCATCCGCACTTGAGTACCTGCATAAGATACACATTAACTGTGAAATCTATTTCAATAATTTGTTTGCTCCAGTGTTCACAAAATGTGAATTTAAGTACCAGTTCCCTAATAAATTCCAAGTCACTGGTTCATTTCATAATAAAAAGCAATTCTTTTTCTCAAACAATCCAGCTAAGCACTTAGACAAAATGCAAGAGTCAGTTGCCAATCATAGAGAAGAAAACCAACAATCCTTACACCACTATCCATTCTCCTATGAGTTCATATTTTTCAACAATTCTAATCTTAACACATACTCCACCAGCAGCAAAAGTAAATCGAGTGTTAATTCAGGAAATATTACCTAATAGCCAAAAAACTAACATCCATGATTGCCATCAACACAGTACTCTATTTTAAAAAATTGATAGGACATCACGATTAAACGTATGATTTACTTTTATCCAGCAAAACGTTCTTGTATTTACATGTTCTATTTTATGTTCCAGGTGGACAGTTCACTATTCTAAACATCTTCTATTCAGTTTTAAATTTTGGTATTTACCTTATCTACCTCAACACTTCTTCTACGGTCTTAATATCCATCCATTTTTTTTTTAAACAAACAAACAAAGCTCTAGATATGGACTAAATATCACTTAACTTTATGGTTTCTTGCCTTTCCACACTATATTTTCTGATTTTCGGAAATATTCCCTCCAGAAAACAATTTTCCCTTGCTAAATGTAATTTGTGTAGTCATTTAGAGATGACAGCAAAATTCGCCTTTTCTTACCCTCTCATTTCTTTATTCTCACATCCTGTTCAAATAGTCACATTGCTACAAAAAAAAGCACAATTTATGTCTGTAGTAACATGACTTTTCTTAGAAAAACAAATCAGTTAGCAAGGCTCCAATAATCAGTATGGCAAAACAAAAAACAAAAAACAAAACCCTGAAACCCCAAATCCGGTATCATTTAAGGAAACCCCATCCTACAGGGAACTGTACTCAGTTTTGCAACCTTGAACTAAATTATTTCTTACACTGACAGCAGAAGTAGAGAACTGGATTAGGTAACGGCTTTCCATCGCAAACACCAGTATCCATGTGCAGCTCCTGCCATGCAAAGGCAGCCAGAGAACATGCAAAAGCTATGCCAGCACAGGAACGGGCCACAGGTGGTGCTGCCGCACGCAGGTGGCACCATTGGAACAGAGGAGGAGACACTCATACAGTTTCTCATTCTTATTAAACGTCCACTTGAGATTGAAAGCCACTCACTGTTGTAGCCACTGCTGCCGCTAGTCTCTGCCGGCGCCGAGTTGTGCTGAACTGGCCCTTCACAGATGGCCCTTCCTGACAGTGAATGAGAGAAGAGGAGGGAGGAGAAAACATGATGTGGGGGAA